CTGAACAGAGAAAGTAACATTACTATTGCGAACGCTTGTACAAGGTGTAACAAATTCTAATTTTAAACTAAGGGAGGAGGAAGTTAAGGTGAGGTATACTGGGAGAAAGGTGGGCCAGTGAGAGTATAGGTAGTGTGGGGGTTAAAGAAGTGTGTGATAGTTTTAAAAAGGCAGTCTTAGACTGTGGAGAAGAATTTTGTGATTATATAAGGGTAGGTGCAGGAGGAAAGATGGGTGATTGTTGGCATGATGAGGTAAAGGGTGTGATAAGAGACAAAGGTCACTTATGAGAGGTTTTTACAAAGGGTCAAGTATATGGAGAGTAAAAGAGGTGAAGAGTGGTGATGGAGTGCAAAAGGAGAACAAATGATAGAGTGGGTGAGGCACTATCAATAAAATTTGCTGAGAACAAGAAACATTTTTTGAGATACATAAGTTAAGAAAGCCTAGGGAATGAATGAATTTGACAGTTAAAAGCAGAATAGCGGAATAAGTAGATGGGGAGTTGGAGGTATTTGGAAGACGGCAGGAATATTTTGGGAAACTACTAAATGTTGATGAAAAGAGGCAGTGGCCTTATATCACTCACTTATTTACCCCTATCTCACCTATGGAATTTGTGCATGGGGCTCAACAACAATAAACCATCTGAGACCACTAATTACCCAACAAAAGGCTGCAGTCAGAATAACAAATTCCCACTACAGGCAGCACACTCCACCAATATTCAAAACCCTAAACCTACTTACCATACAAAACATCCATACTTATTACTGCACCTATTACATACATAGAACACTTAACTTGGATATAAACCCTCCCCTCAAATGTCTCCTTACCAACCTCAACAGAACACATGACCATAACACAAGGCACAGATCACTCTTTGATGTTCCTCGTGTCCATCTCACGCTATGCAAAAACTCAATGCGCATAAAAGGCCCTAAAATCTGGAATTCATTACCTGTAAATATAAAAGAAACACTGTCTGTTTATAAATTCAAGTCTCTTCTCAAAAATCACTTACTCACCCACAACCAAATAAATACTGAATAATTGTATCTCAAATGTTTCTCATAATTGTATCTCATAAATGTTTAACCTGATACCCAATCAAACTTTGTTATTTTTTAATTACATTACCCAACAGAATACTCCATTCTACTGAATGCACAGCAATACAGTAAATGACCATATGACCTGTCTGTGTAATACTCATTTGTGCTTGTTATCTGTTTACAATGTTTTACCACTGAATTTATCACTGCTTAGTTAATCTTCAGTTAATTTTAAGCCTGCCCATAATGCTCTGCATACAAGGGGCTTTGGCATGTTGCACTTAACTGTACTCATTTGTACTACTCTGTATCATGTTCAAATTAATAAATAAATAAATAAATAAATAAACTGGCCAGGAAAGTATAACATCTTTTAGAAGAAGAGGCAGATGTGAGTGTGAGGGAGGCATTAGGTAGAATGAAAGCTGGAACTGATGGTTTCATGACAAATGTTAAGAGCAGGTGGGATATAGTTTTGGAGTACTAGTTAGGTACTTTTGTTCAATAAATGTATGAAAGAGGGAAGGGTACCTAGTGACTGGCAGAAAGCATGTATAGTTCCATTATAGAAAGGGAAAGGAGACAAAAGAGATCGTAAAAATTATAGGGGAAGGCGGAGTAGGGGTCGTCCTCAAAAGGGTTGGATAGAGGGGTTAAAGGATGTTGTGTGGGCGAGGAGCTTGGACTTCCAGCAAGCGTGCGTGAGCGTGTTAGATAGGAGTGAATGGAGATGAATGATATTTGGGACCTGACGAGCTATTGGAGTGTGAGCAGGGTAATATTTAGTGAAGGGATTCAGGGAAACCGGTTATTTGCACATAGCCGGACTCGAGTCCTGGAAATGGGAAGTACAATGCCTGCACTTTAAAGAAGGGGTTTTGGGATATTGGCAGTTTGGAGGAATATGTTGTGTATCTTAATACGTATGTATATAACTAAACTGTTGTATTTTGAGCACCTCTGCAAAAACAGTGATTATGTGTGAGTGAGGTGAAAGTGTTGAATGATGATGAAAGTATTTACTTTTTGGGGATTTTCTTTCTTTTCAGGGATTTTCTTTCTTTTTGGGTCACCCTGCCTCAGTGGGAGACGGCCGACTTGTTAAAAAAAAAAAAAAAAAAAAAAGTTTACCGAGTTCTAGGTAGTAGGTTGGTAGACAGCAACCACCCAGGGAGGTACTACCATCCTGCCAAGTGAGTGTAAAACGAAAGCTTGTAATTATTTTACATGATGGTAGGATTGCTGGTGTCTTATCTGTCCCATAAGCATGCAAGATTTCAGGTACATCTTGCTACTTCTACTTACACTCAGGTCACACTATGCATGCATGTACAAGCATATATATACACACCCCTCTAGGACTTCTTCTATTTTCTTACTAGCTCTTGTTCTTGTTTATTTCCTCATATCTCCATGGGGAAGTGGAATAGAATTCTTCCTCCGTAAGCCATGCATGTCGAAAGAGGTGACTAAAATGCCGGGAGCAAGGGGCTTGTAACCCCATCTCCTATATACATTACTAAAGTTAAAAAGAGGAACTCTTGTTTTCTTTTTGGGCCACCCTGCCTTGGTGGGATACGGCCAGTTTGTTGAAAGAAGTTTACCGAGTATAATAGGTAAAGTGTATGGTAGGGTTATAATTGAAAGAATTAGAGGTAAGACAGAGAGCAGAATTGCAGATGAACAAGGAGGCTTTAGGATGGGTGGGGGATGTGTAGATCAGGTGTTTACATTGAAGCATACAAGTGAACAATATTTAGATAAAGGTAGGGAAGTTTCCATTGCATTTATGGATTTAGAAATGGCAAATGATAGGGTGGATAGGGGAGCAATGTGGCAGATGTTGCAAGTGTATGGAATAGGTAGTAAGATATTAAATGCTGTAAAGAGTTTTTATGAAGATAGTGAGGCTCAGGTTAGGGTGTGTAGGAGAGAGGGAGATTACTTTAAAGTAAAAGCAGGTCTTAGACAGGGATGTGTAATATCACCATACTAGAATGTTGGGGGGAGGGGTAGGATTAAATTACAGTGAATCAAATAAGTACAAAATGGGAGTTGATAGTTACTTTTTGCTGATGATACTGTGCTTTTGGGAGATTCTAATGAGAAGTTGCAAAGGTTAGTGGACGAGTTTGGGAGGGTGTGTAAAGGATGAAAGTTGAAAGTGAACACAGATAAGAGTAAGGTGATGAGGGTATCAAACGAGTTAAGTAGAGAAAAACTGGATATGACAATGGAGGGAGGGAGGTAGTATGGAAGAAGTGAATGTGTTCAGATATTTGGGAGTAGGTTTGTCAGCAGATGGGTTTATGAAGAACGAGGTAATCACAGAAATGTTGAAGGAAAAATTGAGTGATGCACTGAGGTATCTGTGGAGACAAAAAAAAAAAATCATACACAGAGGTAAAGAAGGAAATGTACAAAAGTATAGGGGTACCAACACTCTTATATGGGTGTGAAGCATGGGCTGTAAGTGCTGCAGCAAGGAAGAGGTTGGAGGCAGTGGAGATGTCATGTCTAAGGGCAGTGTGTGGTGTAAATATCCAAAGAATTCATTGTGTGGAAATTAGGAGGAGGTGTGGAGTTACTAAATGCATTATTCAGAGGGCTGAAGAAGGGTTGTTGAAGTGATTTGGTCATTTAGAGAGGATGGAGCAAAACAGGATGACCTGGAAGGTGTATAAATCTGTAGTGGAGGGGAGGAGGGGTAGGGTTCGTCCTAAGAAAGGATGGAGGGAGGAGGTAAAAGAAATTTTGTGTGCAAAGGGCTTGCATATGCAGCAGGCATGTGTTAGCGTGTTAGATAGGAGTGAATGGAGATGAATGGTTTTTTGGGACCTGAGGAGCGGGAGTGTGAGCAGGGTAATATTTTGTGGTGGGATTCAGGGAAATTGCTTAGCTGGACTTGAGTCCTGGAGGTGGGAAGTACAATGCTTACTTTTTAAACCCTTTCAGGGTGGGCGGGACCTCCCCAAAAACTTGTTCTCGGGTAGGAATTTTTGGAAAAAAAAAAAAAAAAATTCTTATGAAAGATGAAAAAATTTTTCTGGTTAATGACACCAAAGCAAAAATTTGGGAAAATTATGGAGTTAGCTCCCCAAAAGCTGCAGTCTCGACGTTTTTTACGCATGGGTGATTCCCCCTTGACCCTTTTTTCAGCAAATTTCCGATGTCCCAGCACAAAAATCATAACTATTTTTTAGAACTCCTTTTTTTCTATCGAAATGAGTACAAGAAACCACCATTTTACCAATTTCAATTTCCCAAAAAAAGTGGTCAAAAATTGGAAATTTTTTCCCAAATTTCAAAAAATTTAAAAGATCCCAATTTTTACAAATGGGTTCAGAACAAACAAGACAGAATTCCGGGGCATAAATAACTTTTTTTTGGTTATTAGTCACTTCCCCGGGTTCTTACATTTCTTTTGTTTTCCCACTTTGAATTTTTATTCTCAAAAAAAAAGAAGATTTCCCGTTATGCAACACTCATTAGTGAAAAAATGATATAAATAATATCAGTGCATTTGTAAAAGAATATTGACTCACAGTTGTGGTTTTGGACGGTGGCATGATTTGTTCATTTTGAACTTTGAAAAAAAATCGAAATTTCTGCACTTGGAGCCATTTAAAAGTACTTTTCTTTGTGAAACCAAAAAAATCATCTAAATTTTCTTAATATGTTTTCCCATTCTTAAATGAGACCGGGAAAACAAAATAAACCTAAGTACATATAAAAATTACCTGAAAAATGCTTTTTAAGAAAACCCGGTGAAGTTTTTTTTTCTCTTTATGCATTTTTGTGCTGCAGGTTTTTTTTATACTGTGTCAGATCAAAAACCCATTTTTCTAGTGGGCCTACAGCTTTTCTCGCTATATAAAGGGCACTAGATTTATGCTACTAGTAGGGCACCAACCCTGGTGTGCAAGCAGTACTAGACAGTAC